AACTGTATCTCCTGATAACTTTTGTCGTGGTTGGTTGTTAATGTTCATTAATATTGATCGTCTTTCTCGACTTGGAATTTGAACTTTTACGTTATGTGGTTTATTATTTTTTTAATAGTTGATAAATTTGATCTATAGGAATATTTCTGTTAACCGATGATTCACCTGAGTACCAGAATTCTAGAAATTCCGTGGCATTTCCTCTACTTAAAACTTCTACATGTTTCCAATCAAATTCGTGTCCGTAACTATCTTCGTGCATCGATATGAAAGGATACACGTCGTGTCTTTTCTTAGCTAATTTATATTCCTGGATTCTAAGTAGAAGGGGACACCCACTTTGACCGATATAATGTTTATTGTAGTTCACACAATTTATTTTGAAAATGGTGTTAATTTTATCTTCTTTTGCTGTTGTATCTTTCGGTTAGCCTAATATCGAATGAAGTGTTTGTGCTGGTTTGTGTGCTGCATCTATTTCAAACGGTCTTAATATTCTAGCTGTTATTTCAGAGATATTTTTTTTTGCATACATCAAGATGAATTTTATTGTGGTTTTAGAGGATATTTTCATGCTGGTATTTTGATTTGACTTTAGACATTTTTTGGATGATGATATAAGATAACCTATCGGTGTTCTCTTCATATTTAGTTATTGGGATGAAAATATGTTGTAAGACATAAGTCCAGTTTATATTAAAGTTTGCGCTAAAGCTGTTGTCTAGAAAGACTACGAAAGCTAAGAGAAAGCAACTAAATAAAAATAATAACAATTCACTTACACTAACCAAAGATAACTAACGAACTTTATGGAATCAAATTTCTCCTGAGTTTGCTATTTGCATTCAAGAAACACTTTGAATAACTTGTGAGCGGTGACCTGAAAGTCACTAAGAGGATGATACATTCTTCCTTTCATTCCTTTGAGTTCTAATTGGAATATAGGGTTTCATGACCCCTATTTGGGATGTAAACACTGACGTCAATTGTTGTCTACAAGTTTGTCTTGCAGACAGCGCTCACCCCCCCCCTCCAATCATCTACATCATTAATTATAGTAATCCTTTCAGCTTAATCCATGTAACATTCCTTTTCAGTTGTTATAAATTCTTTATACGAATAGCTGTAAGGGTCATAATATAGACTAGACATATATACTTCATTTTTCCAATTAAATGATTCCATGTTTTCACACACTACTGACTTATGTAATGTCAGTAGTTAGATACCACTTGCACCAATATCATTATCAAACACTATTCCGAACAATAATGATCATACACAATGGAAACTTCGGCATTACGCATTCAGATGAAAGATAGGTGAAAATATCTAGTTACCAGGGCAAAGAAAGACTGATAAATGTCTCTTTCTGAACGCATAAATCAGGTTTCAGGAGCTTGATGGGAATGGCTTCAGCAAACTTGAGGAGAACTGAACTCTTTTGCCTATTGATAATTTTGAACGATTTTTCGACGTCCACTTCACGACCTGTATCAAGGAGATGCCTGACAATGGCACTGTTTAAAGCATTTGTTCCCTTTAGACATAGGCTTTTTGGTACATGTTCAGAAAATCGTAGATATGCCTTTCTTTCTGTCCTTCCAATGTAACTGCTCCCGCAGATACATGTAAACTTGTACATACAGTTGGAGTTAACATGAGAAGGATATCTATCGATTTTTGACTGCACCAAAGAGCAAGTTGTTCGATAGACGCGGACAAGCTTAGCTGTAGGATAGGTTCTGGCTAGTGACGTACTACACGCATATACACTAAAAGCACTTATCTTCACAATGTACAGCCGGTGAACTTCCATCATAGTTTTGTTTGGCCACTGAGTCGAGTCCCAATGGCTGAATAGTGTAGAAGCTTTCCTTGCAACAAGGAGGTCCTGGGTTCGAGACCCGGTGTGTAAGTACTGTTGAAGAGTACCAAACTGGGACGAAATAGCTACCCAGTACTCCCCTCTGGTTTTCAATGGTTCTCTTACTGATATCAATCTATGATCAAACTTAAAACAAATGAAATCCCTATAAAAACAAACTTAAAAATTAATGGAGACAAATGAATACAATACATACTACAGGTTTGAAGGAGCAGCTAGAAATCACTCACTTCAGCTTGATTAGTGAGCACTTATGGCTGCAATGAGTAGACCCCAACTACATGTATCGGCCAACATTATATTGTCAAATGTAAATAATCACCATCAACCTCTGAGTGCTGTGCATGGAAGTAGTATTCAGCACAGCTAAGGTCAGTAGAAATCACCGAATACTTATCTGAAACATATAGGGAAGTATAAGTATAGTTAGAGAACCTGAGAGATCTAGATCATAATCCTACGCAGTCAAACTTTACTTACATCCTAATACTCTTCTATTCTCCAGAAACATTCCACAACCTTTGGATTATTTTCATTTTCCAAAATATTACAAAGTTGTCCTTACAATAATATTTCTTTCCATTTCTTTTCGCTATCTCCTGTTTAAGTAATTTAATCAGTGATCAAGGCAGTAAACTCAGTATGTGAAACAGATCATGCAGCAGCAGTATAATCATCTGTCCGGATTCAACATAGAACTTGGCACCAAAGTGCAGCAGTTCGAGTCGCCGCGTACCAAATAGCACACAAAGGTAGACAAGAAGATGAGTGAACAGAATTAATAGAGTTTGACAGGTATAAGAACGAAACAAAAAGGGTAATGGTAGAAAGAAATGTGAAAGATTAGAGAGACTGAATACATCTGCGCTGGCTATTGACAACGATTTTGAGCCATGTCACCTATTGTCTCCAGCCATTGATTCTTAGAGTCCCCAACCCGGAAGTCTGCATCTCCCTACCTGACTCAGTTTAACTGTCAAGGATTTCATGGATTGATGCCATGTTTTTGTTTGGCCACCACTTACTCTTTTCCAACCTGCACCTATATCAGCTAGTAATGCCCGTCAGGGGAGGCGATGGTTAGGCATGCGCACCACGTGACCTAGCCATCTCAATCTATGTAACTTTATAGCCTCGTCGATTGATTTTCCCTCTTTGCCCAACACTCTACGCCTAACGTCAACATTACTTAACTTATTAAACCACCTAACGTGAGAAAGAGATCGCAGACATCTATGATCGAAAGCAGTCAACCTTTTCATGTCTTCAACGCGTATTGGCCATGTTTCAGAGCCATAGAGAAGGACGGAGCGAACTTCTGAACGGCACACACGTCCCTTGGTTGATAGCCGGATGTCACGCCTACGCCAGAGATGGTGTAAGTCAGCGAAAGCAGCTCGAGCTTTTCGGATCCGTGCTGAGATTTCATCGCCAATCAGTCCGTTGGTGCTAATACAACTTCCCAAATAGGTGAAGTGGTCAACATGTTCTATCACTTCACTCCCTATCACTAAGTTAGGAGTTGACGTGGTCCAGTCCTGTAGCAGCATCTTACATTTTACAGGGGCGAATCGCATGCCAAACATACGAAGATTGCTGCTCAAGGTGTTCAGAAGACTCTGCATTTTGTCAGCATCCTCCCCTAACAGGACTATGTCATCTGCATATTCTAAGTCCATAAGATATTCCCTGGTAACAAGTCGATTCCTAAGTTGTTACGTTCAGTTAAGGATACTTCCATAGCATATCTATGATGAAGTTAAACAGAAATGGGGAAAGTGGACATCCCTGTCGGACACCACTGGTTGTTACCAATTCAGATGACAATTCCCCATAAGCCCTTACACGACTACGTGAGTTTGAATAGAGTGCCTTGATTAGTGCAATGTACTTTCTTGGCACTCCCTTCACAGTCAGACATTGCCATAGTACCTTTCGATCCACGGAGTCGAAGGCCGCCTTCAAGTCAAGAAATATGGACGCCGAAAAGTGTGTCTATGTTCTAGAATCTGTCGAAGAGTGAAGATATGATCTATGCAACCTCTACCTGGTCTAAAGCCTGCTTGATTTTCCCTCGTTTGTTCCTCCCGAGTTCTGCTTAGTCTATGCATGATTACTGAGCCTAGGATTTTAGAAACTATGTTCGTTAGGCTGATCCCCCTATGATTATCACATGAGGACTTGTTTCCCTTCTTGATGGAATCGTCTCTGATTCCCAGACGTTCCCTAGTACCTTAGTTAATCTATATACTAGTATACCACCCCCATATCTAAACACCTCCGGAATAATTCCGTTGGGTCCTGCCGCTTTGCCTCGTTTCAAATTACAGATAGCTTTTGTGACCTCACTTACAGACGGTGGACCAGTGTCTATATCCCATTCGGGTGTGTGCTGGATGTTGGGAGGTTCAGTGTGGCTGTAGGCAAGTTAAATTGTTCCTCAAAGTGTTCTTTCCAGCGTTCATGGCGTCTATCCTGAGAGCTAATTAAGGGGCCATTTTTCTCAGAAATAGTCTCACTTATGATTTGCCTTCTCCCACCCATTTCCTTGATGAGTCTAAAGAGTTGCCTATCTCGCTAATGCTTTTTCCATCTCTTTCGCCTTTGTCACCCACCACTTTCGTGTGCATTTCGGATTGTGAGGGCGATTGTTACTTCCCGGCTGCCCACACCGTGGAAGTTGGTTGCGTGACAGCAGAGCCCAGGGGACAACTGCTTGAGGCCGGTCACACGCGGCCTGCTTTTGTTTGTTCTTTTTTATTTAGTGTGTCTCGGTAGCATATTTATCACTTCTGCCTTGTGACACGGCAGCAGGAAGTGCGGTCGTTGTTAATCCGGGCCCCGACCTATCCGGCATGATATTTTGTGCATTTGTTTGAATCATAGTATTGGATTGGGTAGCTGCTTTTTGTCCAACCGGTATTCAAACAACAACAACCTCAAGCGACATAAGTCTCAGCCAGTATAGCTTGTTGGGTCATTGCGGTGTTCAAGCCCGACCACCACGTCAAGGTAGCAGCTTTCGGTCGGGCAGTATAATCATACGCTTAAGAGAAAACAGTGAACATCGAAATAGCGAACCGGGCCTTTAGGTGTAAAAACAAACAGTTGTTTCTCTTTAGAATTTATTAAAATACATAGACAATAAGAATCCAATATAAAGAAATACAAAAAATATGCAAAATATCACGGTCATATATGTAGGCCACTTTAAGACAAAAGTCCCAGGTAAACAGATCTCGGGTATTTAGTCTTTAACTCAGGCCATTGAACAATAATATCCACCAAACGAGTATAATATAAAATTTTTCCAGACAAGGATAGAGTCTTCGTACGACAGATACTTTCAACAAAGACTATTAGACTTGAATGTAGTCCAAGTACCTGTTAATTCAAAAACAGAACATGTTTACAAACCTTCTTACCATAAAATCATGTATGATTAAAAATAGAGTGAGTAGACCCGTAATATTACACGAACAGTTATATATGCAGCTCGCCGATTGAAGCGAAATCGAAACCAGGTAGCGTCTTGTTCTTTATTCTGTAAAGCTCCAAATAGTGCCAATGATCAGATGCACTTCGAGAATCTGAAGCTATCAAGATCTCTTGAAAAAAAAGTAGAATAATAACCGCCAAACAATCCCGGCCAATTAGAGGCACATCAGGGCTAAAAGCCAACAGTCAATTAATACTGATAAATTTTGTAGTTACAGTTGCAAAGAATAATCTACGTACAGATTTAGAAAGATGTGAAAAGAATACATTCGACTGAATAGAACTATTGAAACATACTGCAATATACGCATTTTTGAAATTTCACTTTTGAGATTAACAAATAATATTTATCTTAAAAGATTTAGTTGTTGTAAGTCAGACATTTAAAACTATGGATGTGCCTAGGAATATGTTAAGATTCTGACGCGTCTGGTTGATAGGGGAAAAACGTGTACCAAGGTTTCCAACAATCTAACATTCTACAAAAACGCCCATTACCCAATATTACTGACTCAGTGATCGACTTGTTACCAGGGAATAATCACGTTGACTTAGAATATGTAGATGATATAGTCCCCCCCTCCTAGGTGAAGACGCTGACAAAATGCAGAGTCTTCTGAACACCTTGAGCTGCAATCTGCGAATGTTTCGCATGCGATTCGCTCCTGTCAAATGTAAGATGGTGCTACAGGACTGGACTAAACTGACTACTAGTTTAGAAATAGGAAATGAAGTGGTAGAGCGTGTTGACTACTTCAGTTATCTAGGAAATTGCATCAGCCAATGCCGATGGGTTGATCACTAACGAAATCTCAGCTCCAATACAGAAGGCTCGTTTCTCGTATTCCAGTTTACGCCATCTCTGGAGTAGACGTGATATCCAACTGGATATCAATTAAAGGGCGTGTGTACTGCTCATCAATCCGCTTCGTCCTCATTTATGGCTGTGAGACCTGGCCAGTGAGAGTGGAGGATATGAAAAAGGCTAGTTGTCTTTGACCATAGGTGCCTGCATTCTATCTCCCATGTGAAGTGGTATAATAGGGTGAGCAATATTGAGGTTAGGTGTCGAGTGCTAGGTGAGGAGGAGAAATCAATCAACGAGGTTGTGAAGTAGCTGCATCGACTGAGATGGTTAGGACATGTGTTACGCACGCCTAGCCTAGTCATCGCCTTCCTCGACAGTGGATAATGTTAGTTGACATAGGGTCAGGCTGGAAAAGGGCTATCGGTGGTCAAACCAAAACATGGCCTCACCAGTCAATGAAATCTACAACAGTTAGTTTAAGCCGGCCACGTAGGAAGGTGTAGACTTCCTGGTTGGGGTCATCGGGACGGTAAAAACTAATGGTTGGAAGCAATCGGTGATACCGCTCAAATCGTTCTCAATGACGCGGATGCATCCACTCCTTGTGACTTACAATATCCAACGAAACTATATTGTTCTTCGTTATTACTATTCCTTTTGTCTCATATCCCTGTCTACTGTTTCTATTATGCATTTCTCCTACTTTTTTCTCTTGATTTGTGTGTACATAGAATGTGGCAACTTGAACTGCCGCACATCGGTGCAAAGTTCTATGTCGAAAACAGACAGACAGACATATTTCACTTAAAAGCTGCTAACATATTTCATTAACTAAAAGCTGTATAAGTCAGTTCAATTTATCTGATATGTTACATTATAATCACAGATTGAATGATCATCAACATCAAGCGGATGAAAGGAACTGAGCGGTAATAATGCTACTAGCTACTAGCAAAGATTTCTCGTTAACTGCTAATAATTTTGTTTCAGGCAACATCAAACTATATTACGGTCGGTATAAGTTTAACCTGAATATGAACATTTTATAATATGTAGATTTCGTCAAGTCCTTTAATACTAACAAACTGTGGATTCTTACTTCGATGTCGACAGAAAATACCAGGGCATAACAGACGGTTGCTACTTCCATGAAAAGACTCACTAACTGAATGAATTGGCTTCATGGAACCTATGGATACAAGCTGGTATTTAAATTAAAACAGACGCAATAGATAATACTTAGTTATAAGTTCAGTAATAATGCAGTATCTACAGGACCTTTTAACAACTTCTATATGTATGGCGACTTGAACTGCTACAATTTCGTGCAGAGTTCTACGTTGAAAATTCAGTTCAGCTCGAACCCATATGTATAAGAACTGTCTAACATGACACTTCAATTATAAAACAGAATTCCAGAGAAACCTCCCACATTAAGGTATTAAGGGAATTCTCGACTAGACCCCAAAAAATAGTGTCTAGTTTCATAGCAAACAAAAAATACATTAAGAATTATTTAGGATCCTGAAGTAACTGACTGGCTAAGTTTCAACATATACCTTAGAACACAAAGACAAACATTAGAGAAAAGAAAGGGATTCAAAAGTACCACAATTAGCAGAAATGTTAAGGAAAAAGAATATTAACAGGGAAAAAAATTAGGGTTTAAGGGATATGAAAGAACATAAAAAGTAAATGAGTCTGCACCACCGAGAACACTTTACGACCATATCATCAATATTCCCAAGTCTCTGGTCCGTAGCATCCTGGCGAACACTACCAGCCAGCCTACACCTCTCTCATGGATTGACGACAGGTTTTGATCTGACCACCTCTAACTCTTTTCCGACCTGATCCTATGTTACCTAACATTGCGATGGCCTGGTATGCAAAATGCATGCATTAGCTACATCAGTTGATGTAGCTCCGCAACCTCATCCACTAACTTCCCTTCCTTGCTTAGCACTGTACACCTAACCTCAATATTATTCACCATATTATACCACTCAACATGGGAGGCAGAACGCAGAAGCGTAGCATCAAAGACAGCTAACCTCTTCATATCTTCCACTTTCATTGGCTCTCTCACAACCATAAATGAGAACGGAACGAGTTGCTGTGCACTACACACGTCCTCTGGCCGATAACCAGATATCACATCTACGCCAGAAGTGACGTAAGTCCACCACGCCACATTAGCCTTTTGTATCGGTGCTGAGATTTCGTCATCGACCAACCCGTTGGGGCTGATGCAACTTCCCAAATAAGTGAACTGATCAACACGCTCCACCAACCACTTCACTTCCTATCTTTACACTAGATTCGGTCAATGTAGAATCATCTTACATTTGAAAAGAGTGAATCACATGTCAAACATTCAACGATTGCTGCTCAAGATGTTCAGAAGACTTTGCATTATATCGGTCTTCGCCTAGGAGGACAATATCACCCGCAAACGCTAAGTCGACAAGACTGTTCCCTGGTAACAAGTCAATCTCTCCTAAAATAACCACTGATTTAATTTAGGATCATCCGCAGCACCGAATATTTTGTAATTTAACTTGTGAGCATCCTAAACAAAAACAACTAAGCCCTAATACCAAGCCACCTAAGTATTACAAACTACTTACAGTAATACAATTACGTATGAATGATCGTTCCAAATTGGCAAATGATTTACTTTGATGCCTAAACACCATAAAACGAGTGCCTTTGACCAAACATGTAACAGATGACGTTGAAAAAATTGATAGTTATCTTACCCGAAGCAAAAGCGCCACAAAGCATACAGGAATGCATGTTCCAGGACCATTGCACAGAATCTACAAAGAAATGTCGATTTCAAACAAACAAAGTCTCATAAGGGAAGCAATATCAATAAAGCACAATAAACAAGACCCGAGTCAACGCACAGGATACAATATACGAACTAGTCACAATGTAAACAGATAAGAACAGCAAAGTGATAATGAACGAAAAGATGTCATCCTCATTTATACTAACTACTGAGATACATTTCCTAGTTAATAACTGAATATACATCTTTCCCGTAATAAATTTCAAACAGATAGAAGTTATTGTAGAGGGACAATTAATGAGTTCGTGAATTCTGGTAACACTCATCAGCTGAATACTTTACAAACATGATTATCTATATCAAACTAAAGGGTTAACATATATATTAAACGGAAAAAACAATGACAACAAATATGTATTCTTTACTAATGAGTGTGTTCGAACGTTGTTTTATTTTATTAGTCATTTTTAAGAGTTTGGATGTTTTCACCAAGTTTCTCACTATCACACTCAATTTTGTTCGCTCAAGTGTCCGTGTACTTTTGTTTACCAATTTTACATATGACTCAAGTGTAAAACCTTGAAACGATGCACACTTACACCAAGTCTGTCATTCAGTCAATCAAGTCAGACAAAATCATTCTTGCATAAACCACCCAACTAAAGCATTATACAGAGGAACAAGTCAACCATAGTACCAGTTAAGTAATCTTCGGCAGGGGACGCACGGCCTGTGAAATTCGGGCTACCGATATCCACGCTGAAAATTCCATACTTGTACCAAAAATAAAGTGTGGAATCAAGCTGTAATCAAAAATAAAAAAATAAAATATAACGCGAAAAGTAAAATAATAAAACAACTCACTAGTTTCGGTCGACACTGGACAACAAGAGGCAGCGAATGAAGGAAAGAGACTGATACACTTAATATACTGCTCATAAATGACTGTCTTACTTCACGAGCTCTGTGTATACGTTTGATATTAAACTACAGTATCATGAAATAAAACAACGGGCTAACCAGAATTCCACGACGGGTCTCACAATTTAAAACCTTCTCCTCACTCAAAGCGTCAGTTTTTGCTATTACGTATGTACGCGGCTGGTATTTTTTGGTGAGTGATGAGACATATGACAGCATCTCAGTTGTATGTCCACCAGATCCTATTATTATCATAACAGGAACGAAATGTGGAAAGTCCGGTTTTGACTTGAAATGGAAGTAAATGTACGCTACTACCCAAAATACTACTAATATTATGAGAATCTATAACTTTAACTTAGAGAACAGACAATAACTACCATTTCTCACGTCATGGGCAGGTAAGCTTGAAATATTTCAACGACCTACAAAATGACCTTGAACACCAAATCGCAATATCCAATATCCAATATATCCAATATCGTTTTTACGAGCTAGTATAGACCAATTTGATTTCTTTGTGCTCGCTTCTTCATTGGAAGGTATAGGTTCCTGATCTTCGGTAAACTCCTGCGTAGCTTGTCCCGCCACTCGACTGTCGTAGCCTTGGGTGACTCCAAAGGGAGTAGTGCTGGGATTAATTATATGTGGTTTGTAGTTAAGGTTAAGACTATTACTACTGCGATTGGAGTTGATCCTTTCGCCAGTTAGTCCTTCGGTATCGTCGACAAGAGAAAAGAGATATAATAATAATAGTAATAATAATAGATATAATTAGTGAAGTTATTCAGACTAAGAGATAGAAACAGAAATAGGAAGCGTAACAACAGTCACCGGATTAAGTTTGAAGAATAATATATATATCGGTAATAATAATAATAGCCACGATATTAAACACTAATTAGTATGTGATAAATGTGTATGAGGACAAGTTGAATCACTGCTGCAAAATCCACAGTGTAGCTGTCGATAGATGCGCACTATGTCTTATGCTAATCCCAGTACTTTAGCCTTAACGCTAACCTCAACAGAAACAACCTGTGGTCTTCCCCAAACCTCAATATGGCTGGAAAGAAACCAGGATAGAATTGCAGGTTATCCCAGAAATGTGGCGAGGAGAATTAATGTTAGAGGAGGAAGAATCTGAGTGGGTTTCTCATGGACATTCCAATGTACTCCACAGCTTTATGCCTTCGGCACTAAGAAGGACGGGAGAGAAAACGTTATTCGTAAGATAATTAATAAGAACTATGTTGATAGTGATGTTAAAGTAACATCCGGAGATACACCAGTGGGGGTTGTTCTGCGTGCACAGTGTGTGGGACCTATCTTCATGTGGAACTACCTGCAATAAATGTTGGTCCCAATCAATGATAAAAGCCGACTGCTAACCACCGTCCCACAGACTTCAGAAAAGAATTTCAGACAACATGATGTAAAACGCCTTGAAAAATCTATTCGCTGAGATGTTCTGTCCAGCAGTTTCAGGCTGTTGACATTCTGGAAGCTAAAAGTCAGTCGCTTTTGCAACAATATTTGGAATTCCATAGGGTCATCGCTCCCACTCAGATGATCCCAGATATGGCCGTTCGACTAGATTATTACCATTAAAGATTACCGACATAAGGGTTTTAATGGTGTACAACTTTGTGAATATGGAGAAAGATGCCACACTTTCACACTTTTAGCAGCGCTAGTCTGCCTAACAAGTGCTGATTTGAGTTCATACTATCTCATTGCACTGTGGGTACCGATGGTCTCGTTTTATCAAGTAGGGAGGTCTCGTCTAGATGAAGCATTAATATTTTCTGAAAAATAGTAGTTCGATTGATTTTCAGCCGATTTAACTGCAAACCTGACTGACAGAGTTCAGTCTGCACCAGGGAGAGGACTAGACAAGCCACACTAGTTACTAGTATCTAATCAAACTACCCACTACAGTCCTACAGGAGGTCAATCGTGAGCCCGAAGAAATCACAAGCAACAAGCTGCAGCAGTGAGTGACGCGGGTTCAAATCTTAGAAAGGATACGAGTTTCTTCAAGGTTGCAGACTCACCTTGCTGACGAGTGCCAACCATCACGAAACCTAGGTCCAAGGTTTCCTTGAGACGATTGCCTCCAACTATCTAATATCATTGATTTATTTTTATTTGCCCGTGTTTCGAATATGCCAATATGAACTGTGGAAAATTCGATCTTGTTGGGGAGCTCTCCTCTGGGAATACTGGCAGCAATCTCTTCTTGAATACTCGTTTCTCCCGGGCTACAAATCGGCACAGACTCTAAGGAATGACTTGTAATTTCTAAAAAACCCCCTCATTAAAGAATTTTCCCCTTCCATGCTGCACGCTCCTGTCAACGCCAAGTAAAATCCTGAGTTGCATCATCCTGGACTCATTGAATGCAGAATTCCAACCAGAACAATCTGGACTCAGGAAAGGCAAATCATGTTCTGACCAAATTGCAATACAAACGTCAAGTCAGTTCCTCTATACGGATCAGAAACTTGGCGGGCGGGCTACAAAGAATATTTCCAACAGCCTGTTGCAGACATTTATCAACAACTGTCTTCGTTCTCTACTGAAGATCAGATGGCCGGGTCGGAAAGAATCACCAACAAGAAACTATGGGAACAAATAAGCAGGAACCAATCGCCCAACAAACATGCAGGAGAAAGTGGAGATGGATTGGAAACTCGCTGGGAAGGCCACCGCTGGGTGACTTCGCGCGCGGGTCAGGCGATAGATCCAGTGGAACCTGAAAGGGAAATGGCGAGTGGGCCTTCAGTACAAGGGTGACATGGAGGAGATCGTGTGAAGAGGAGTTGAAAGAGTATGGACTGACATGGATGCAGGTGAAAAGTACAGCAAAAGACAGAAGCAAGTGGGGACATGCAGTTGAAGCCCTATGTTCCACTAGGAACCCAAGGGAGCAATAATGATAGTGTTGCATCTGTTTCCAGAAGCCATGTACTGATATAGTTTCGTTTTTTCTTTAATCTCCACTTGTATTAAGCTCTTCTTCTGATCTTAGGGGGAATATCTTTCCATAGCTTTAGCTGAATATTTCTCTTTTGTGGATAATAATTTTCATTAAAGCAAGATAAATAATGATCCGCCTTACAAAATCCACTACAATAAACAGCGAATTTCGAAAGATGGTAATTTTGAAGGCTGAATGACACTTTCCACTGGTTTTAGGATGCCATGTAGCAACCATACAAATCACTTAATTCCAGTGCTAACTAACTGGTGAATGGCTGTTTGGTTCATACCTTCGAGTGCACCCATTTTCCAAAACACAGGTCTGCTCTACCGTAGCAGTAGAGCAGAAGAGAGTCAGCATTGGCTCACTAACCACCCCATAACGGCTAAATCATTCACCACATTTCTATAACCACCGATCGCAAGTTTTCAGTACATTCAGGCCATTTCTGTTGACGAATGACAGCTAGTTAGGAAAGAATTAATCCTAGGTGATTCAGCCCTTGAATAATGTGAACTCTCCTTAGTTTTCCGCGTAATCATTTATTTCGTCTCTGTCAAAAGCTTTCACACGAGTATCTTTATCGTAGTAAGATCCCCAGCAACTGTATCTTCACTGAACTACATGGCAACGGTCTCCTGGACTACTCCAAGCAATTACTATTTATGCATCACCTAACATTTCTCAAATAGGTAAACCAAGTAAAGTGACTGATACAAATATAGACTCTGGGCATAGCGTTAGGTTCCACCTCACTTACAGATTGTTTTCATATGTAACGTACCGCTACGGCAGCATTAGCTTAAGTAAAAAATTATTCTTCATTACTATGCGCTACATCAAGTGGAATTACCCTATTGTGTACAGAAAACTACTGATTCACAGGTTCAGCCATTATTCCGTTAGCTTCGAATGGGTGCCAGTGTACAGGACCATCTCATCACCGTCCTTGTGTTTCCTATACTTTCTGTGAAATTTTCCCCCACTTAAACCCATTATTTATCCTCGACACTGGATGACAGCAACGCGTTCTTCCGGAGAAGATAATCTCACCAGTGTGTCGCATTCTATCGCCTGGCGTACAACTGAGTTTCCGGCACTTCTTTTCTCTGATATTGCTAGTGAGCTGGTGATCTCATTTTGAAATGGTTGAGTGTTACTCCCCTTGTTATCACCGTTCCTATACCTTTGCTCGAAAGGTATCACTCGAGATTTCTGCAGAACCTGATTTCATTGGCGAGAATGGTGCTGCATGGACAGGAATATTGTGTTGACTCCTTTACGTTTCCATTGGAACATACGGCTTCAAGCTAGAGCTAGGGATGAGATTGCTAGCCTTTTGCTAAGTCATATTACTGGCTTGGCGAGGCAAAGGTGTGTGTTGGGTGGGGAGCATTCTACAACTGCACTACCGACGCGTTATCAGGGCTGGTGTCATTTTATTCTCCAACACTTGTCGCTAGATAGTATTAATAACTGCGCAGACACTTCGGAGGCAAGGTAGTTTCATTAGTTCTAATCAGAGAATAAAAGTATGCTTCAACACAATTTTACAGGGGATCTGAAAATGTAGTACCTGCATTACGCTTTAGGTCTTGGGTATTTGGTGCTCAAATATAGAACGTGATATCGTTTAAGTTAGCCACACTAAGGATTATATGTGTAGTGCCTCATAAACTTAAAACTGCACGATTTAAGTAACCGACCTTGTCTCTAAATAATTACCCACATTAACGACTGATAAAGCGTATAAAAACTGAAAGGGTGTGGAAGATTTTAAAAATTAGTTTTTGGGAAGCAAGGCAATTGGCGAGTGAAGCCGGAAAACCTAGTGAAACATGCAGGGGTTATTTGCCTTCCAATGGATAAAAAGGGCCCCATGAGTTGTAAAAAAGATATGGTTCTCACTTGGCTACTCCTTTCATTCTTCTAAATTACTTAATCACTGACCACCCTTGGGGGACTACAGCACCCTTTATTGCAGACGCCCTTAACGATCGATGAGAGGTAGTTGCTGGTTCCACAATTTAAGAAAGCAGGTCATAAAGGGGGAACCAGATCTCCCTTATGGTAAGATTTTCTTGCGAAGTATATGTTCAGAAATCTAGTACTTTCTCCTGATATTATATCCGCTATCGGTAGGTAAGTCTCGTGATTATTTTCTAGCTAGTTTTGGTTACTAAACACCCTCTGTGGTGATTAATATAGTGATTCTATACTGATCGGTGGAGTCAGAAGAGGAATAAGAAAAAAGGCAAATCGTTAGGGCTTCAATGATCTCATTTTACCAACCAATCCTGGTGGTAGATAATTCCCCAGAATTATTGGCAACAGCACTCATCAGTGAACAATGGATGTTGACCCTCACTCTTCAAGTCTATTTGTTTAGCTGAAAGCTTACAGTCAAGCATCCATGCCTTGTGTTTGCGACATTGATTTCTACACATTCACTTACGGC